GACTCATACTTTGGAAAAAGATAAATGGGTTAAATTTGATGGTTAATAAAAATTCTGACAAACATCAGTTAACTAAATTCTTTAAAATAACACATAAAGAAAATTCACTAGAGAGGAAATGCATATTGTTAGTAAGCAGAAAAAATTCTACCTCCGATAATCAAAGTGATGCAAATTACATCAATGAGATAGCTTTTCAATGAGATATTTGCATGTGTCACATTAGCAACACAGTTTCATTCAGTTTTCTGTTTTTAAGTGATGTATAGTTGATTTGCAACATTGTGCTAATTTCTGTATACAGCATAGTGACTCATTTTTATATACTTTTATATATTCCTTTTCATATGCTTTTTCATTACAAGTCATTACCAAGTACTGAATACAGTCCTTGTGCTATACAGTAGGACCTTGTTGTTCATCCGTTTTATACACAGTAGTTTAGTATCTACAAACCCCGAGCTCCCAAATTAACCCTCCCCACCTCCATTTCCCCCATAACCAAGTTTCTTTTCTATGTCTATAAGTCTGTTTCTGTTTTGTAAATAAGTTCATTTGTGCCTTTTTTTTTTTTTTAGATTCTACATATAAGTGATATCATATGGTATTTTTCTTTCTCTTTCTGGTTTACATCATTTAGTTTCTCCAGGTCCATCCATGTTGCTGCAAATGGCATTATTTTATTCTTTTTTTATAGTTGAGTAGTATTTCTCTCTCTCTCTCTCTCCATATATATATACACCATAACTTCTTTATCCAGTCACCTGTCAATGGGCATTTAGGTTGTTTCCATGTCTTGGCTATTGTAAATAGTGCTGCTATGAACAATGGGGTGCAGGTGTCTTTTCAAACCAGAGTTCTCTCTGGGTATATGCCCAGGAATGGGATTGCTGGATCTTAGGGTAAGTCTATTTTCAGTCTTTTGAGGAATCCCCATATTGTTTTCCATAATGGCTGCACCAAACTGCATTCCCACCAAAAGTGTAGGATGGTTCCCTTTTCTCCACAGTGTCTCTAGCAAACAATGCTGTTTTTTAAAGAACAGTACTCACTGCTAGCTAGAGTGAGTAAAATAGGCTAAAAGAGTGAATAAAATTGGCACAAACACAGAATTAGAATATGACTCAGCAATTCCACCACAAAGGATCTGAAAACAGGGACTCAAGGAGGTATTTGTACATCAATGTGCCCTGCAGCATTAGTCCCAAGAGCCAAAGGACAGCAACAACCTAGGTGTCCATCACTAGAACAAACAAAATGTGTCCTATTTACACAATGGAATATCATTCAGCCATAAAAAGAAAGTTCTGAAATATGCTACAATACAGATGAATCTTGAAAATATTATACTCAGTGAAATCAGGCAGTCACAAAAGGACAAATACTGTATGATTACACATAAAGGACTTCTCCACAAGAGACACATTCACCAGCACAGACGTAGATTAGCAGTGACCAGGGTTGCTAAGGGAAGTGGGGGATTTGGGAGTTAGTGCTTCCTGGTCACTGAGTCTCTGGTTAGAGTGATGAGAAGTTCTGGAAATACACAGTCATGACGGTTGTACAACATTATGAATGGTCATTAATGCCACTGAATTGCATTTTTAAAAATGGTTAAAATAGAAAATCTTACGTTGTATATGTCCGCTGTGATAAACATGTTAAGTTATTATACCCTTTGATGTAATTATTTTGATATGTTTCCCTGATATACATTAGCAGCATAACAAACAAATCAAGAAAATGCCAGAATAAAAATCATGAAGGATTCAAAGTTTACAAAACTCACCAAGTTGAAAATTAAACAGCCAAACCACTAGTTCTGCTATGCTAACAATAACCACTCCTACATCTATGGTAAGTAAACACAGGGCCAGAACAAGCACCAAGAAGAAAACAACAGAAAACAGAAAAGTTAATAATATCTCAACAAGCCAGCAAATGCAGTGAGCCCAACTGCAGACAAGGGAGCCAGCGCCAGGCGTGCCGGAGGGGACGGTTTCAGCTCTGGGACTCCAGCTCTGCCACAGAGCACCCGCGGGTGCCCGACGGCCTCTGCTGACACTCGGGAGTGAAGTTACAGGACTGTTGAGGAAGAAGCATCGCCTTCAGAATCAAGTCCTCCTTTCCTCACTGGCTCAGTAAATAGGCACTGCCAAAGTGGCGGCAGGGGAAGGCCAGGCTCTTAAAATTTGTCCTGGAACATCGAGGACATGTAAATGATTCCAAGGTACTCAAGAGGCCCTGGGCAGCACATACGAATTTAAGAAGCAGCCAGAATGGTCTATTATAATAGGCTCCCGATTCCCTCCTGGAGAGCCAACTCTGGACAAACAAGAAAAGCAAGCAAGAAACCCAGAGGAGCAGAACGAGAAGACCCCAGGAAGAGGGAAGGGTATCTTGAAGTGGGGTGTTTGAGGAAGGGGGTGGCAGGCGGCCGCTAGAGGTAGCAGTCAGATGCCAGGCTGAAGGAAGGTTTTTAAATTCTGCTCTTGCTTCTCTTCAGGGGTCGGCCTCAGGACAATCACTTCTTGCAATTTCACAGCCAACACCAGCCAGCAGCAGGCAGGTGGTGTCGCCAGGATAATTCCAGGTCAGCAGCTCTGCTCCTCTGGTGTGAGAAATCAAAGGAACAGGTGTCTGGACATATCTCTAGCCCTCAAGCACTCTCTCTCTCTCCTCTCCTCCACCAACACCTCAGAGCTGGTGGGTCATCACCTCAGGAGACTGCCTCATCCAGGGCTGTTTTTCCCTAAGAGTTTAAAAGGGGACCACTGAGTGCAGCACACAGGGAGGCACAAGAGTAGTTCTCTTGTCCCTGAAGCTCAACCCCTCCCCTCTCTTTAAACTCACAAGACTGATACCGATTGGAGCCTGGTGTCCATCCTTCCCCAACAAACATTATCAGAGTAGCTGCCAATTAACTAGACATCCAAAGAGTATAATTTCCATAAAAGACATTCAACTGGACAGCATACAGCATGTGAAGCAAAATACTGAAGGCCACTCAAGAGTTTAAAATAAACCTACCAAATATACATAAAATAGGAAAATATTAGCAATATGAAACAACAAAAGATAGTTACCAAATGAAAATGACAGGTACTAAAAATATAATAGCTGACATAAAAGTAGGCCATCTACCAAAGTAAGACAGACAGAGACGGTGACTGATCAGTGAGCGGAAACAGTCAGCTGAGGAACTCTCCCAAAGAAATTCAAAAAGAGATTAAAAAAACATAAAACAGAAAGGTAAGAGATACGGAGAATGGTAGTAAAAGTACCAAATTCTGAATAACAAGAGCCCCAGAAAAAGAGAGAAGTCAAACAGAGAAGAGAAAATATAGGAGGAAAAAATGGATGCAAATTTCTAGAATTAAAAAATAAAGGGAGAGCCCAGATTGAAAGGGCAAGCCATCATGACACAGAACTAGAGTTCTGCACAAGAGCAACATGACGTGGCCAGGGCTGGGGAAGGAGGTGGAGACAGGGGAGAGACAAGAATACGAGAGCACACTAAATCATTTGTCTTGCCAGATGAAGCACAAATACTGATAACCTTAAGAAATCAACATAGATAAATAAATATGTGCACAGTTCATGAGTTAAGGTCATCCATAATGGGGACAAAAATAGAATGTATAACTTCCAAATCATGGAAAGAAGACTAAAAAGAAATGAAAAGAGAGTAGTCTAAATTTATAAATATGAAATAAAAAAGCAGAAATAAGTCCTAAATACAACAAGAATTACTATACTCGTAAATGGGTTAAATAAGCTTATTAAAGGATACTGACTATCAGATTAGATTTTTAAAAATCAAAATAAAATAATAAGCTACGTACAAGGTATACTTAAAACAAAAACTTACAAAAGGTTGAAAATAAAAAGATGGAAACATATGCCAGTCAAGTGTGAATCAAAAGAAAGCTGGAATAGCAATCTCAGTATCTGACAAAATTCAGTGTAAATGTATAGCAAGATATGAAGACAGAGACACTGAGAGAGCACGTGTGTGTGTGTGTGTGTGTACACATATATAGAGAGAAAAAGTGAAATATTATTATTTATTAAGATATTTGTAAAATGTAAAATGAGAGATACTATATTCAGTTAAATCAAATGCAAAATGCCAGACTTTTTAGAATAATGTGAATTCACTTCTCTTAAGTGAAGTTGAGAGAAAAAAAGTGACCAATTGGTTTTTAAGGAGTTTAAGAAAAATTAGGCGGATAGAACTGAGGAAATATGTGTAATTATTTTCCAGGTGAACTGATTTTACAACAGGATGACCAAATTAGCCTAAACATATATATTTCTCTTCCTGACATGTTGTTAATCACTGTACTTAAATCCATCAGTGGCCATAGGTTTCAACTGACAATGGTGACGTGGCTTTATCAAGGATTCACAACTAGAAATGAAATGACTAGTGAGTGGGGATCAGCTAATGTGACACTAGACGTTCACGTTTCTTGGTCTGTACATTTTCTGCAGATGAACATGATTTTACTCCCTCAATATCCAGCAAATTCCTGATTCAACAGGGATTGTAGTTATTTACAACCATTCTGTACAACCGAAATAGAAAGTACCTCAAAACTAAGAGCTCTCTTCAGTGTCATTCAGAATTGCGCAGGTTTATTTCCTAGTACTTTCTCAAGAGTTTTCAACTAAAATACAGTATGAAAATGAGGGAAAACTCTAGGTGGCATTTTGCATGGAAGACAGTAATCACACCTGCCCACAACAGCCTTTGCCTGCAACAACTGGAACAACTGGAACAACGAATGCAGATCCTTTCCATCCCAAAGCCTTACTGGTTACTGACTTATACTTGAAAAGGATCTCATGAAATTTACTTTAGATACTTGAGGTAATGCAATAAAGTTTTTTTTCTCTTTTAACATGTATTTTTGTAAGAACAAAAAAAGCTAAACTCACATTTTCCATTGTAATATTGTTTGAGGCATTCAGCAGATTCACACTTAAGTCAACAGCTACAATCCCAACTACTGAGTCTGGCTGTGTCACAGAGATCCTCAGAGAGACTTTCTCAGACAGTTCAGCATTAGCTTTACTCTAAAACAGCTGTATCTGAGAAAGGGAGAAAACAGGACTGATATATTGTACTTTTTTAAAAAACACATTTCTTACATATCTTATCCATAGCAGATCAATGACAAAATCTAGCGAAGATTCTACATTTGCCTTGGCTCGGGGACCATTCTAAAGCCAAACATAAGCCTTCTCTAGGGAAAGAAGTAAAAAGAAACTTTACTCCCACAGTGTTTGCACGTCAAGGAACCTCTCACGGTGGCAAAAATCTGAATTTTCCTTCCTTTCTCTACCTTTCTCCTTCCCTTTTTCCATCTCTCACCCCACCTGCAGCCAGTGCTGAAGAGAAGATAGTGTCTGGCTTAGCTGGGGAGGGCCAGTATCCAGGAGAGGGGACATGGAGGATGAGAGACACTGTAGATGTCTGCATATTGGCCACCTGGACTCAGAAGTGAGTGCATGCAGGTGAGAGCACTGGGGACTCACAGAACTGCCTGGGCTAGGGTGGGGTGTCTTTCCAAGAGAGATGTTCAGACCAGACCAAAGGCAGGCCCCGTGCTCTGTCTCCAAGGCTGCTTCTGTCATTACACTCAGCAAAGCACAGTGCTGAAGTCATCCGGCTTCTTCAAGTGTGTCAATCCTCTCATCACAGCTGAACTGAATGGCTATGTCATGAGGCCTCTTCCTATTAGGAACGTTCATCCTGTCCAGCTCAATTTTGATATTCCACTGCCCCAGAGACCTTACAACCTGACCAAGATGGCTTTAAATGTTCCCTTCAGCTTACCTGAACTTTAGACAGCTTCTTCCTGAGGCTAAGTCCCTGAGTAAAAAGCCTGCAGTTGTAAATTTTTTCTCTGCCCTTTGGGGTGTAAATCTTTACCCAGCCTCCTGCCAGTTTGACAAGCAGGCATGTCATTCTCAAGGACCTGGGAGCCATCCTTTCAAAGTGTGATCATCCAGAAAGAGCCCTGATGGATCTCCCAGGCTTTATGAGCCCAGAGGAGGATAATGTACAAATGCCAGCTGAGAAACACATAGTCTAATCACACTGACAGCTCGGCCCCAGTGTCCTCCAATTCTTTTCCATGAATTCACCCCAGAGCCTAAAAACCCTCTTGCATTCAGTTTCAGTGGAGTTGAGTTCAGTCTTGCTCCTCTGTTGCAACTGTCTTGAATAAAGTCTTCCCATGTCGGTTTAACTTGTCCAATGTAATTTTTCTTTGATATGCCTCTTGAGCCACTGTACCCCTGGTTTACTTTTCTTCGCTTACACCTCAAGGGCGGAGCGGACAGGGGGACCATCATCTTCAAACCTTGAACTTCTCACTCTTTACTCTGCACTTCAGGGACTCCATGGCTCCAACCTGCACTTCTGTGTGGATGACTTCTAAACTTACATCCCTTGCCCCTTCCACATTTCATTCACTGATCCCAGTCACTACTGAACATCCACAAAGATTCACTAATTTTCTCATGGTTAAACATACTTTATTTCCAAATACGTAATTCCTTTGGGAGTAAAACATGGTAAACATGATCATATAAAAACTAGAGGAAGAGTCATCTTTGCAAACACAACTGAAACTAATTTCTTATCCCTCAGACCTAAAAAATTCCTTGGAAGTATGTTATTTACACGCTCTGCTTCCTCAAAGCAGAAGACCTTTTACACTGCAACTTTTTTTAGAACCGGGTCTCACGTTCAGAGATCTGTGCCTCCATACTCCATATTTAAGCCTTACTCCTACTTTAAAATTCAATTTTATCAAGGGATTAATGGAGTCACTAGAAGTCAAAAATACTGCTCTGAAACTAACAGAGTATAGCATTGTCTTTTACAAAATTATTTTCATAAGACAGAAAATTTGTATTATATTTTGACAGTCAAAGTTAGATGTGACAGTTCTCAATAAAAGAAGGCATGGATGGTGACTGCTACTTCTCAAAATTTTAATGAATTAAGGGGGAAAATGCTAGCAAAAGAACTACATTCTGCAATCACTACCTTAAAATAATGATTATTTTGCTTCAGCACTCCTGAGAAGGCAGCAGCTTTTAGTGAGAACGATGGCTCAGTTTAGTATGAATGAGATCATTCAACTCCATGAGTTAGTCTTACAATGGTGACTTCTCAGAGCTGGGGCCCAAAGGGGATTCCTACACAAGCTATACACCTTAGGTTATAAAAGTTACTGCTGCATTTGGAGACCAAATTCCACACAGATCTCCACGTGCAAAGTAGTCAGGCTCACTGTAAATTTGTCCTGTGTTTGTTTCCAGGCTGATGAAATGAATAAACAAAAGCCCAGCTCTGCTTCCACACCTCACTTCAGATGGACTCACTCCCTCCTTCACTTCACTCCCACACCGGTGTCAACACCACATAGACTCTAGATTGTCACTGTAATTCCATGCAACACAATACTGACATCACCATTTGAGAAATCCTGAAAGAGCTTCATGGATTTGCATTTAAGTCTAAAGCCAAGAATCATAACTTACAAAGAAGACTCACAGTGTCCAATAATTCCATATCTGAAGAAGGTTTATATATATATAAAATAATCAAATATGAAGAGGTTTATCCATAATTCTAGAAATGAATATAAATTTCTAAAAGTTTGGTTTGATGATACTTTTCTAAAGAAGGATTACATTTCTCAGATTTCACTAAGAGCAAGTTTTCTTTTAAACATTATTACGGTAAATCTTACTTTATTTTTAAAAACAAGCTGAATAGGAATTCTGAGAACATCATTTATAATTTCCCCATCATCTTCAATGTAATACACAATGATGCAGGCTTTTGGAGCCCAAGAATTTTCTGGTGTTAAGGAGAAAGTTGTTGAATTTTGCTTGCCTACAGCCACCAACTGTCCCCTGGACACCACCTGAAAAGACCAGTAGATGAGTTTCATTTTGCTAATGCGAGTGAGAATCTCAAGGGCAGCTGACTGATCATAATTTTGTGCATATATACAAATCCTTCACTTAAACCTTCTTCAAATCTTTTTTGAATACAAAAAAACCCCAAAAACCTCCCTGAGCAACACAGAGGGTATAAGCTGGAAATTACAAAAGGATAAAATAAAACAACAAAAATAACTGAGGCAGCAGCAGCTTGACAGTCAAGAATCTAAGTGGAAGGAATGCAGAGCACCATTGGGAGAGTAGTAATCTTTATTTTATTTTTGTTTTTCTTTTCTTTTTAATTGTTTTAATTATTATTTGGGGAGGAGATAATTAGATTTATTTAGTTATTTTTAGAGGAAGTGCTGGGGATTGAACCCAGGACCTTGTGCATGGAAACCATGCACTTTACCACTTGAGCTATACCTTCCCCTCTGTTTTTCTTCTATTCTATAATTTTCCACAATGAATGTGTGTGTCTTATCTCACAGAAATTTAAATTTTACACATAATGCAAGATTTCATTATCCATCTTAAACTGAAAATGCAAATGTAGGTGAAGAAAGCAAAAAACATAGTTTGATTTCAATATAAAAAAAGAGGCTAACAAGGTGTTAGGCTGAATTTTAAAAAGCAGTCAGTTTAGTTTAGATATAAGGTAGACATTATTTAAGAAGATTCTGTAATAGATCATAAATTGAGATTCTATAAGAGATTACTATATAGCTTACCTCCTTCAATTGCTTGTTGCCACTAACCACCAACTCAAAAGGTGATCCCACCTAGAAAAAAGCGCTTAATTAATACGCACATGTCAGTGGCAAGATAGCCCAATTACATTGTCATTATCAAGTGACTGTAAGCATTACCTTTATATTTTCATCTCTTGTTTTTAGCTGGATGTATGTTTTGCTAGGAGATTTAAACATGCCATGAACTGCGATGCTATCCACACTATCCAGAAAACAGGCCTAGAACAAAAGACAGGGGAGCCATAAACTTTCATCTTTACAAACCCTTGGAGAAAATGTTACCTGATAAACAATCATGGGAAGGCAAATTCACTTTCACTCTTCTTTCATGCAAGACAAACACAGTCCCCAGACATTGGATCTTCATCATTTTACAGCTTATACTATAAACAAAGTGAGAGGTGTAAGCCATGTCAGATGGTCTTCATCACCATCAAGTAAAAGGCAAAAAACACAGTCCTAACTTATTTCAGAAACAAAGGCTTAGTACCAGGAAGCACGCTCTGAGGAGAGAGGACAAGATGAAAAAGGAATCCTTCCCTCTCCCCACAACACAGAGCTCATCTACAAGCAAGAAGTCACACTGGCTCACTCAGTCCTCCACTGGTGAGAGTAAAACTTAAAGCCACAGCTGTGGCAGGGCCAACTGACCACCAGAAAAGTAGCAGAAATGGTTGGGGAGTCTCAGACCAGCATAGGAGTATAAGCGCCAAAAAATATTTTTCCCTTTTCATTTCAGCTCCTGCC